CCTTCCCACCTACAAACTTGACTGCATTTGGACCCATTCTCTTTCACTGCTCTTCTGCCTTAGCAGCAGGGGTGTTCTACCTTCCTGCATCCCATTGTCTGCCTGTTTCTCCTCAAGCTCCTTGCCCTGTCAAATATCTTTCTTTCCTGTCTCTAAGCTCTCCCTCTCTCCTGGCTCCTTCTATTTAATGCAGAAATATGCTTCTCTTCTATTAAAAACAGACACACAAACAAAACAAAGCCCTCCTGAGCCCTCCTGAGCTCCACATTTCCTGCTAGCTGCTGCTGCAGTTCTCTTTCCTGTCACTGATGAAGCTTTCTGAAAAGAAATTCTCTGTTCATCGACTCTGTGTAGGCAGAGCTCACCAGTACTACACCCACCACTCAAAATACTCCTACTCCCCTCCCCACCATTTCTTTGAAGCTACTCTTATTAAGGTTACAAAGTCATTAATTCTACAAATAGATATTGAGTTCCTACTATGTACCAGACACTGATAAAGGTATTTGGATGATATTGAGTTCCTACTATGTATCAGACACTGATAAAGGTATTTGTGACCCTTGCCCTCACAGAGCTTACACTGCATCAGGGGAGACAGACTATTAGTAATCGATATATACAGTAAAAATTTTAATTATACAGTATGTGATAGGTGCTCGGTAAGTGCTTCAGAAAAAAAAAGAAAACATTAAATAGCATAAGGGGAACTGGAGGAAGCGGGTAGAGTGAAGTTTTAAATAGAATGGTCAGAGAAAGCCTCCTTGAAAAGATGTGATGTTCACGAAAGACTTAAAGTTGGTGAGGGGTTTATCAGACAGACATGGTTGAGGGGAGAGCATTTCAGGAAGGGAAAACAGCTAGAACGAGGCCCTAAGATGAGGATATCATAGCAAAAGGCCAGTGACAATGACCTCACAAATACAATAAACGGTCTGTCCTCATCTTACGCAACCTCTCTGACTGCTGACTACTTCATCGTGCTCGGTCTCTCCTGCCTTGGTCTTGTTTATACCACTCTCATCCACTGTATCTCCCACCTCTTAGGCCATATCCCAGTTTCTTTCAGATACTGCTCTTCCTGTTTGCTCCTGTGACAATCATTAGGGCTCTTCACATATTTTAAGACTCTTTATCCTCAGAGTACACAGTAGGATCTTACTTCCCTAACCCTTTTGAAATCAGATGTGGCCGTGTGCCTTAAGCCAGTGACATATCAGCAGAAGTGACATGTGTCACTTTCAAGTATCAGTGTTAAGAGCCAGCATGTGATTTATATATAACTCATGACTATAAAATTATAAAATATAAAAAAGACTATAAAATATATTCTTTTTCCTGCCTGAAAAACAGGGACAATAACAAGCTTACCTCATTAGGTGGTTATAAGCTGATATAGGCATACCTTGTTTTATTGCACACTGCTTCATTGTGCTTCGCAGATACTGCAGTTTTTACAAATTGAAGGTTTGTGGCAACCCTGCTTCAAGGAAGTCTATTGGCACCATTTTCTCGCTGAAGGCTCAGGTGATGGTTAGCATATTTTAGCAATAATTTTTTAATTAAGGTATGTACAGTTTTTAGACATACCATTACTGCACACTTAATAGACTACAGTATATTGTAAACATAACCTTTATTTGCACTGGGAAATCAAAAAACTAATGTGACTGTTTCATTGCAATATTTGCTTTATCGTGGTGGTCTGGAACCAAACTCGCAATATCTCCAAGGTATGCCTGTACTCACAAAGCACCTACAAGAGTGCCTGATGTCCAATGCATAATAACAATTACTTTATTGGGGTTGTTATAATAGTTAAAGAAAACAATCTGTGTAAAGCCCTTAGCATAAAGCATATAGTACATGTACATGTGGTCTGGCTTCGAAGTCTTGTGTTCTTAACCAATCAATTGCTGCCTCTCAGTAGGACTCCCCTAAAGGGTAACATTAGTGCTTGGTTTCCTGCCTTGGAAGTAATCATGGGAGCTTGTGTCAACATGGAGATTCCATCAACCCACAATGAGCAGCAGCTCAGTAGTCCACCTCATTGAACATAGTAGCATGGTTCCCTTATGTTAGGGCAATTAGGTTTGGGGAGTTTGTTACTGCTATACGGCCCAGCCCTCTTTGACTGACACAGCTTCCAAAATGAGGCCTAAGATCTACACTCTGCATAATTCTCCCTGGGTGACCTCATACAAACCCCTGATTTCAACCACTACCAATATACTGATGACTAAAATACAAATCTCTGCCTAGTGTCTCATTAGTATATCTAACCACATACTACCAGATCGTTCTACTCAGCTATCGATAATCCAGGAACCTTGAACTCAGCAATTCCAAAGTAACCTCCTCCTCTGACCTGCCTCTTCTTTCAGTTTCCTGTAGAGTGAAGACATCACATCCATCTCTCTACCCAAGCCAGAAACCGGAGCAACTTGAACTCCTCCCTTCCTTATCCATCCCTACCATCTAACAAGTACAGAATGCAGTCCTGTGGATTCCTTCGGCCTTTCTCTCATAGCTATCCACAGCTCTATTCTCTCTGCCATGGTCCAGGGCCTCGCCACATCTAGAGCACACAAGTCAAGAGTAGCCACTTCCTGTTTCCATGTAGTCTCCTTTCAACTGAGTCCCCATGCTGCTGCTGAAGGGTCTTTTAAGAACCCAAATATGAACATTTCACTTTTCTTCTTTAAATCCTTTTACCTAGCTCCCCTTAGCAATCCAGATGAATCTGAATCTCTTTATCTTGCCTTCTAAGACCCTTTATTATCTAAATCCTGCCAACCTTTCTAACCCCATCTTTTGCTTTTTCCTTTTACGTTAGCCCCAATAAATTAAATGCAGTCTCTCAAAAGTGACACTAGCTGTTAAGTATTATTGTTTACAGCAGCACCAGTCATAGTATTACAGATCTAATCACTCTATAGTACAGCAGGTCTTCGAATAATGCCATTTTCATTCAATGTTGTTGTGTTATAATGTTAATGAAAAAAAAATTGATTCCTGGACCGGGCCACTGTCTGTGTGGAGTTTGCACATTCTCCCCACATCTGCGTGGGTTTTCTCCAGTACTCCGTTTTCATCCCACATCCCAAAGATATGCACATTAGGTTAGTTGGCATGTCTAAATGGTCCCAGTCTGAGTGAGTGTTGGGGGGGGCGGGGTGTGAGTGGCTCCCTGCAATGGAAGGGCGTCCTGTCCAGGGTGGGTGCCACCTTGTACTCTGAGCTGCTAGGAGAGGCTTCAGCCATCTGTGACACTGAACTGGAATAAGCAGGTTGGAAAATCATTATCTTACTTGTTTTTACTTGTTAATCATTCTTACATGTTTGTATAGCTCACATTCATTTCAATGTTTAGTATTAGAAGTATTTTGAATCTTATTTAGAATTTTGGTGATGTTTTTGTGATTAAAAATATGCCATAGGAACTTAACTCTTGTTTATATCACTTAGCCTCTGGTAAAATTGTTTTTGTTATATGTCGTTTTACTTAAAGTCAGTTTCCAGTAACCTACTGTCAATCTTAACAAGGACCTATTATATAATATCTGATTTATTTACTGGTCTCCTTCAATGGGCTATAAACTCCAAGACAACAAATCTTTAGTCTCATTCATCTTTGTATGCTCAGTACCTAGTACAGTACTTAACACATTGTAGCTACTCAGTAAATGTATGCTAAATTAACTGAACAGCTGGCTGACTGACTCAATAAACAAATAAGTGAATGATTACAGTCGTCCTTCCCTGTATCTAGTTTCCCTTTCCGTGGATCCAGTTACTCACGGTAAACCACAATCTGAAAATATTAAGTGGAAAATTCCAGAATAAACAATTCATAAGTTTTAAATTGCTTGCCATTTCTAGTTGCATAATGAAATCTCAAGCTATCCTGCTCCTTCTCGCCTGGGATGTGAACATCCCTTTGTCCAGCATATCAGTGCTGTATACACTAGTCACTTAGTAGCTGTCTCAGTAATCAGATCAGTTGTCAGAGAGAGAGAAAGAGAGAGAGAGAGAGAGAGAGAGAGAGAGAGAGAGAGAGAGAGAGAGAGAGACAACGTTCACATAACTTTATTATAGTATATTGTTATAATTGTTCTATTATCAGTTACTGTTGTTAATCTTTCACTTCGCCTAATTTACAAGCTGAAGTTTATCATAGGTATGTGTGTATAAGAAAATAACATATTATATGTAGGGCTCAGTACTATCTGCATGTTAAGGCCTCCACTGGGGGTCTGGGAATGTGTTCCCCAAGGATAAGGGGAAACTACCCTACATGCATACACACATACATACACAAAACCAATAGACAAATAAGTGAAAGAATCATTACACTTCAAAAGGAAGACTTGAATTTCTTTCCTGTACCAGAAACAGAGACACATGAAAAGTGCAATTGAGAGAATGTTATTTCCATTTTCATCTCATTCTATGGCCTCATCCCTACATGCTACACTGCCAAAATATTCTGTGAGGGCTTAACAGCTAAAAGCAAAAGAGTCGTGTCATTCCCAAATCTTCTCCTGAGCTCTAGTTAAAAGACCTACACTTTAACCATGGTAAAGCCAATAGAAGAACAATCTCTACTGATTATGGCAACAGAAGTTATTTGGGGAGTCGAGACAGAGCAAAGAAAATAGCAAAAGGTTAATCTGAAGAGCTCTCACATGAGACAAAAACAAGGAAAATAGTACAAAACAGTCTTTCCCATCTTTATTTTTCCCATCAATTTCCTTTCCCCTTCTTGTTTTTTAATTCATTTCCCAACTATAAATTTTAAACTAATAAAAACATGTGTTTTAATTCCCCTTAAGTGACATTTATAGCAACATAAGATGGTAACTATCAAATGGATTCTTTTCAGTCAAATAACCCTGCAAAAGAGATTCTGCAAACATTTTAATTATCGAAGATTTGACATGCAGAACACAACAGCAAATCTTGCTTTAAAAGAGCTTCAAGCTAAAATTGGTTCTGACCTGAAGAGATAAGCTTTCTTAGTAAATCCATCCAGTTTTCTACATCTGTCAGTTTATTGGTTGTAGGATTAATCTTGAGCTGCTTCCCAATAAAATTTCGGCAGGTTATCTTAAAAAGAAAAGATAAAAACAAATATAACTTAGGCATTTATAGCCAAAAACTTGGCTGACTATAATGTTTATCTTATTTTTCATTTGTCAAAAAAAAAAAAAAAAGATATACAAGAGGATGCTACAAATAAAAGTAAGCAGAATAGCATTCAATCATGAGAACTTTTCGGGAAAAAAACAGCTACATAATCTTTCATATTTTATACAGCACAGCTGGAAAAGCATTAGGCAAATTATGTAGACCAATTAGAATATAATTTTCTGATATTCTTAAAATTTACTAGCCTAAATATATCTTCCATTATGTAAGTTGAAACATATTTAAAATATAGGCTGCTTTCCCAATGGCAGATTTTTCTACCCGACTCATAATTAATGCAACTTAAACCTCCCTGGTGAAGTTTTTCAGAAATTCTCCTGTAGTATTTTAAAAATCTATTTTCTAACAGATATTTGAGTCTTAAAATTGTATAATACATGAAAACGAAACATTTTTCAACAGAAAGAAATTCTTTTAAAAGATCCAAGATCTTCTCTCTGTTACTCCATTCCCAGTCCTGGAACTAACCTACTGATAAAAATAAAGCCCTCCCTGGGCCCCAGTCTGATGTACATGTTGCTTCTTAATTGTCTCTTGTAGTATTCCCACAATAAATCTAACAAATGCAAATTCCTACCCACAGCCTAATAAGGCCCTGCTTGGCCTAGTCCTTTCCACCTCTCCAGCTTCATTAAACAAATCTTTACTGAACACCTATTTATGTGCCATGCACAGCTTCAAACTCAAAGATGATGTAGCAGAGAACGCAGTAAACAAAAATTCCTATTCTTATGGAATTTATTGTAGTGGAAGCAGAGAGACAATAAACAAAATAGAGAAGTACATTAGGGTGCATATTAAAGAGGTATAAATGCCATAGAGAGAAATAGAGCAAACAGGCACAACATTTTAAACAGGATAATGAAGACAGTCTTCACAGAGAATGTGACATTTGGCAAATACTGGAAAAAGGCTAGGGAAAAATCAATGTGGATATTTGGGGAGAAGCATTCCAAGCAGGGAAATAGCAAATGCAAAGACCATGAGGCAGAATGTCTTAAAGAACAGAGCAGTTGAATCCTGTAGGGGAGTAATAGGAGATAAATTACTAGAGATCACAGAGGGATACGTTGTGTAGGGCATAAAGGCCATGATAAGGATATTCACTTTAACTCTGAATCAGATGGGAAACTATTATAAGGTTTAAGATAAGGAATGACATAGTCTGACTTAGGTTTTTAAAGGGTTTTTCTATCTGCTGCACTAAGAAGAAACTGTAGGGTGGAGGAATGGATTCAGGGAAGTTGAAAGCAAGAAAACTAATAGGAAGTCATTGCATTAATTGAAGCAAACATATTGGTGGTTTGGAGCAGAGCAGGAGTGGTGAAGATAGTGAGAAGTGGTCAGGTTCTGAATACATTTTGAAGTAGAGGATTTGGCAACCAATCTGAAGTGGGGTATGAAAGCAAGAGAGGAGTCAGGGATGTCTCCAAAGTGTCTGGCCTGAGCAGCTGGGAAGATGGGATGTCATCAAGTGAAGTGCAGATGACTTGGCAGAACAGGTTTATTTGAGATTTGCTAAATTTAAGAAGTGTATCAAATAGCTAAGAGATGATGCTGATTAGGCAGTGTGATGGGGAAACTTGGTTAGGCTAAACTATGAGGACAAATGAAGAGAAGCATCCATTTTGCAGCATACACACACCTCATCTGAGTTTTTCAAACGAATCTAGGTGCTACTGTGAAGGGATTTTGTAGACAGTAATTTAAGTCCCTAGTACATCGATTTTAAGCGAGGGAGATTGTCTTACGTGGGCCTGACCTAACCAGGTGGGTCCTTGACAGTGCTGGTGGTCTCCAGACTCCAAATTCCAACCAGCATCCAGGTCTAAAACTGACTGACTGTGGGCTCTGACCACACCTGTAGGTTTCCTTCCTTTTCCTGATCCTGACTGCCTACCCTACAGATTTTTAACTTGCTTGGCCAATCCCTGTGATCATATAAGCCAAATCCTTGTAATCTTGATGACAGATAGATAGATAGATGCATCAATCTTGACAGATAGAGAGATAGATCTATCTTACTAGTTCTGCTTACTCATTGAACCCTGAGTAATACAGGCAGTTGTTAGATATGTCAACACAGAATTCAAGAGAAAGGTCTAAACTGGAGATGTAATTTTGCTAGTCATCATAATAAAGATGCTACATATGCCAGGGGCCCTTGGGCAGTATACAGACTGTATAACTAAATCAATGGCTCTGGCATTAGGTAGTCAATACATACTTATTAAGTTAACAAATGAGAGAATTTATTTATCTCTTTCCTCCACCTAACTCAAAGCTGAACCATGACCTTCGTGGGCCTTAGGCACTTTCCCCTTCCTGGGCTCACCCCTCCTCCCTAAAAAAATATTAAAAATTATATTTTATAATTGTATTGGTATAAATAGAAATACATTAATATTAAAAATCAAAACATTTCCTTTGACCTAAAAGCTAGTATTTTCTTTTCATTTAAAAAAGAATTAAAAAATTAGTGAGCCCTTAAAAATACTGTGGCTCTAGACACTGTCCATACTGTGCCTAATAGATAAATCAGCCTAATAAGTTTCTGGTGTACATGGACTTACTTTAGTTTACCCTGTGGGGAAAATACTGGCTCATAATAGGCTCTCGATAATGTTTGTTGATTTGAATGACAAATGCCTACATGAAAATCACATTTATCTGATTCCTAAATCTTGGTATTTTACAAGTGTACTAATAAGAAATCACAACTGTATGAATAACAGAGTCAAACTTACCTTCTCTTTATGTTCAGCCTCATATTTTCCACAAGGTTGTTGGATAATATCTGGGCCCTCGTACTTGGATATTCTTAGAAGAAGCTGGCGCTGTGCATACACCAGGAGTGGTGTCACTTGCTCTGTATATCTCTCACTAGATAGGGGTGAAAATACATTAAAAAGTAAACATTCATTTAAACACATTTTTTTAAATGAGGTCTGTCACTTTTAATTACTCTTACAATAGTACTTACTGTGAAACTGCATTGAACTGAATGGCAAGTGATACTAGTGTTTCCCATTTTTCGACTTGATATAAAAGTTCCAGTGATTTTAATACAAAGTCATGGATCCATTTCAAATCAACCACATTTACATCATCTAAAGGATGCTCAAATATAAGGCTAGAACCACCATTATCATTTTTAATATTTCCATAGCAACTTGGAACACTGAACTCTCCTTTTTCTTCAATAATCTGCAAGTGGTACATTAAAAAATTTTGTATAATTTCAGATTTTACTACATTTTCTGAAAACTGAGTGTGTGTGTGTATATATATTAAGTGTGGAATAAAGTGAACAGAAAAAAATTTTAAATATTTTTATTATTTATAAATTTATTCTAAATTTATTTATAATTTTTATTATTTATAACTTCTGCACAGGGAACCTAATAACAATGAGAAGCAAATGAAATATAAATGAACCAAATAATAACTCAAGAAAAATATTAATTTCTACTTATCCCAAGCTGCATGGTATAAAAATATTTGTTAACTGAATATAATAAAAATAATTACCCAAACACCCTTACCTGAATAGAATTGGTATTTTGTAGTTCTAGTAACATGTCAATAAGAAATTCTGCTCCCAAATAGAATGGTAAAACAGAGGTACAGATGAAACCATCCTGACTAATAGGAAATATTTTATACACATCCACTGTTTGTTTAAGAAGTATTTGCAGTTCCTGAGTAAAGTTCCAAAGGGCCCGACAGTAGTTCTGAAGCAGAGTCCAAAAGCCACCACGATAAGCAAGAACCTAAGGCAAATACAACATGCAAAAGACCCCAAAGTTCCAAAAGTTACAGATCTCTGAATCACTTCATCTTTCTGTAAATATATGTCGATAATAAAAATAATTAACACTATTTGTTATGTGCCATTTATATGTGTTAGATACTGTGGTAAGGCCCTTATATGCATCATCTTAATTTATTCTAACAAAAAATCCTATAAAGTAAGTATGCACTAGTATTCTATTCAATTTACAGATAAGGAAACGGAGCAGTGGAGCTAACTTGCCCGAAGTCATAAATCTATGACCTGGTGGGCTACGATCTGCACATCAGCCATCTGACTCCAACACTCCCATGTTCTAGGTGCTGGAAAAGTGGCAGCGAACAGGAAAAACCAGGTCCGCCCTCATGCTGCTTCAATTTACCAGGGGAGAACAATACTAGATAGACAAATAAAGATACAATTTCATGCATAATAAGTGTTGTAAAGGAAAATAAAGCAGAAATGGGTCAGAACCCGATGATGGTGAGAGAACATATCCTTCTAGGCAGGGTGGTCAGGAGAGAAGTCCTCTCTGAGGAGGTGACTTACTGAATGTTGAGTTAAACAAGTCATGTGAAAGTGGAGATGGGGTTGCTTGGAGGGGAGAGCACTTGAGGCTGAGGGAAGAGCAAGTGCAAAGGATGGAGGGTAAACCTGAGGGCTGAAGAGAGAACAAGCTTAGCACTTTCAAGCTCACGGAGAGAGGAGTGAACCAAACAAGAGCAAAAGAAGCTGAGTTCTGAGAGGGGAGCAGGACCTAGACCTTCTAGGGTCCTAAAGCTGGTGGAGAGCAGGATGCAATGTCATAGTCAAGGGGATTATGTGGGTTTACTTTAGATTTTTAAAAAGTCACTCTCTCTACTCCACAGAGAATATGGGAACTTAAGTGTGTTCCTTTCTTGTCTCGAAAGGGTAGATGATCTCTCACCTCTTCAGAGGATTGAAGTATAATCCTTCTTTGCTAAGTGAAAAATTAAAATAATTTCTTTGTAGCTAAAAACAATTACGATTCTGCATTTACTAATCTATCATATAATTTTTTTTAAAAAAAGAGAGAGAGAGAAAAGTGTTTGACAGAAAACACAAGTGGTCTGTAGAAACAGAAGGTTGGGCGGGAGGGGCTGATGTTTCCTGTGGTCTAGAAAGATCTTCCCTGTGCTAGAGGGAAGAAAGGGGTCTACACCCAGGAGGGGGCAAAACTCCAGAGAGAAACCCCTGGTGTCACCAGAGAAGCCCATGTCCCAAGTGTCACAAGAAAGCAGCAGAGGAGTGTCTGAATATCCATGAAGACTGTGTAGACAGGGACAAAGGCCATCTCATTTCTGGGTGGAGGGATGACTGATGATTAAAAAAGCTCACCTCTCTCCCTGACTTGACAATGCATAAGACCTCAGTACTGTGGCAGGCAAACCTCAAAAATGACGACACAAAATCCAGCAAATTTAGTCTCAAAATTTAAACCAAAATTACAGATGGTAAGCAAATAAATACAATGTATCTTACATGCCTAAATTTATGGGCTGAGATATATGTCTAGTACATTAGCAAAGAAGAAGGACCACCTTACCATTGCTCTTCTGCAATATAAAAAGATTTTCATAAAATGATCCAATAAACTCAAATTTGCTGTTCGATCCTTTTCCTTGGCACTAAGACCTGATCCTGATCGAAAGTCTGAGTCATGAACTGTCTGTGCCTTGGAAACGGTTTTTTCATCAATCATTTGGGAATTAATAAATGTCATGAATTCTTCAGCATCTACAATACGAAAATAAAGTATAACACATTATTGAAAACAGAGTTAAGTTCCAGAAAACACAGTAGGTGACAAGCATCACATGAGTAATTCAGATAACAATTGCTGTATAAGTTTGGAGAAAGGACAGGATTATTATGAACACAATGAAACAGAAAATGTTTCTAGAGAAGAAAGTTCTTAGATTAGGTCTTAAAGGGTGTGCACAATTGAGCTATGCAGGAAAACTATGAAGAACATTCCAGGCCAAGGTGATGGCCAAAGGAACAAAGAAGCAAGAATGTCATGTTTTTTGATGGAACAGTGACAGGATCACACCCTTCCTTTACTTCCCCCTCAAACAAGCCAATCCCAGGACACATACATTAGGTAAGTAGCATCTCCCAGAGTTAGGCATGCAGTAACCCTGGCCACTCATTCTCCCACTCGTGTGATATAAAAACACAGAAGATTTCTTTTGCCACAAACCTCCTTTTAGAGCCCTGCATTAAATAATAAGTCTCAATAGCAAGATATTCTCTTGTTGATTTCATGGAAGGTCTTAGATAGGGAGCTAGTTTAATTAAAAAAAAAAAAAAACTCAAGAAATTATATATTATAATCTAAATACAAAACTCAGACTCTTTTCATGTCTAGGAAATTTACTTTCACATACTTCAATATATATAGTATGGCATGTGGGTACCAGTTAAATTTAACCTATACTCCAGAAGAAATTAGAGAGCGTGTCAAGTACCTCAAATATGAATCAATACTCCTGGGATGGTTAACCAGCATATGAAGTATCCTGAACAGCAATAAGTTACATGGCACTTAAAATACCATTATTAAAAATCTACATAAGAGGGTTTATAATAGTATAAAGATATTAGAAATAAATTTTTATTTATGAAATGAGTGGTATTCAAGATAGGTAATTACTTAGGTATAGTGTCATCAGTGCAGATCGAGAGCCCTGTTCACCTGCATCTCTCCCCTCCCAGAGTCCCCCATTACCTGATCAGATGACAACATTGGTTGGTCCTGCCATCAAAATATTATTGCTTTCATCTAGGAATAACCTTTCATGGAAAGTGCTAGTTGGAGATCATAAGGCAAGAGTAGACTGCCCTGACTACAAAATTGGTACTATAAAACAGCAATATGACCGTTTTCATGCCTGCTTGCATCAGTATGCTTGGTGGAATTTGTTCGGAAACTTACTTCCACTAAAACATCTGATAGCAAGTCTTTCACCCTGACCACCGGAGGCTACCAATATTTCTAGAAGAACATTATATTTGCTAAACAACCAAATCATTTCAGGTCAGAACACAATATGGATAGTTCCAAATATATGATACTATTATAAAAATAGAAATTTTAAAAAGTAGAATAAATAAGAATCTTCTATAAAATATCACAACTCAGTTAAATTCCTGGGTCATTAGAACATGATATATGTACTTGTGTGTGCACGTGTTAATAGTATAAAATTCGAGATGTGATTTACTAGTATATAAAATATTTATTTATTTTACCTGATGGTAAGTTGGCCTTTCTTTTTTTAGCTGTATGAAGGAAATCAAGCATCACTTTATAGTTTTCTATAGTCATTTTTCCTGTTGGTAATACTGTTCCTGAATTATATAGTGAGAACATATTAGGATCATATGATCGGAAACTGCAAGGAGGAAAAAATATCATTAAAAAAACAATACAAGCAAAATTGAATTAAATCTGTCAAATACAATCTATTTTAATTTTTTAAGTGTGAATTAGTGCTCCTAAATTTTGGATCATACCACATTTGGGCATTTAACCAGAGCCAAACAATTTCCTATTAAATTTTAAAATTATGCAATGCAACTTTATTCTTAGGAATTTCAATATCAATATCTATTTTGCTGAAAGGATCCTTGAAAATGAAAATGGAAGATCTAAACTCACTCTAAGACCTCTGAAACAATAATTTATGTCAACCTAAAATTATCTGATTTACAATTCAGTGACGATGCCTACAATATACACCAATGTGTCAGCATTTATTTCTTTTTTAAAACAAGGTCTAAGCAATAAACAATCTTCCACCAAAAATAGATGCATACATGCATACATATATACATACATATGTACATACATACATACATACATACATACCGAAGTATACATTAATGGTTTTAATAAAACTGAATTTAGCACCAAGTTACTCTGACACGAACTTGATCATTGTGGAATTATTGTGCTGCGAAGTAATCATCCATGAGTGGTCATGTATGATTAGAAGTTCAGAGAAGATTTCTCAGTGTTCAGAGGACAGTAAGGAAGCCCATCTGTTATGAACCACTTTCCCTCTCATGGCCTCATGAGTGGATCACTTTGTCAAAGTCTTCCCTGTTGGTTAGGCAATCTAACTGCTCCTTCTTCTTCTTTAATTTTAGAAAAGCAAATGTTTGACCTTTGTGAAGCCTACATTATTTTTTTCCTATGTCACATCACGTTTTTTAAAATTTATTTTTCAATTACAGTTGACATACAATTTATATTAGTTTCAGGTGCACTACAGTAATTAGACATTAATATATCTTATGAAGTGATTGCCTCCATAAGTCTTGTATCCATCTGATACCATACGTAGTTATTACAATATTATTTACTATATTATATTCCCTATTCTACAGTTTACATATCCCTGACTATTTTTATAACTGGAAATTTGTACTTACTCTCTTTCACCTTTTCTTGCTGCTTCTTAAGTGCAAATCTGGTCTAGCCTACAGAAAGAGACCTATCTGGAGACAATTTTGTGAAGGTTCAATCTGGTAATAATTTTAACCAAAATTCTGGAGAAACAGAAACTGGGACCAAGTTCATTGTTGACTTCAACCTGAATATTTTATCACCGAATTATTGAAATAAATATCCTCTTTCCTTCCTCCAATCTATTTGGTATATTGCTGTCAGAGAAATTTCTTACCATAGCCCTGCTCAAAAACCATTCACAGTCTCCCACTGTACATAAATTAAAGTTCAGATTTAGTAGACAGTTAAGACTCTCCCTGATCTGGTACTGACCTACTTTTCTAATTATTTCACACTAATCTCTTTCATATACCCTAGATTCTGGTTAGACCATTGGTGTTCTCATTTGTTTCCTACCTTGGCTCTTACTCATGTTCTTCCACCTACCTGGAATGCCTATTTCCCTATTGCACATTTCTAAATATTGCATATCTATCAAGACCCAGGCCAAGTGGCCTCTCCCCATGAAACCTGTCCTGTTAGTCTCAGGCAGAACAAAGCCACCTTCCTAGGAACAAAGACTTTATGAGTACTTCACTTTCTACTATTATCTCCAATTATTTGTGAACATCTGTGATCTACCTACCAGACTCTAACTTGCATGTCCTGTTCATCTTTGTATACCCATTGTACCTATCTCAGCACCTTGTATCTAATAGGTGCTCAATAAGTATTTTTTGAATGAAAGAGTCTATGTCAACTTTTTAATGGCTCCATAGTAGTCCATTTATCTATTTACCTTCTATTTTTATCTCCCATAACACTTCAGCCACACTTAATAGAGCTCCAAAATGTCTTCTGAATTAATAATAGAAAGCTTACATTTTATGAGAAAATATGATCTGTTTATAGAAGCTTAAAATATGTGTTTATATAGATTTGCCTAATGCCTACTAATACTGACAGTTATTGTACAATTAATATTAACTTCCTCTTGAAATTACACTTCCTCCTTTCACTGAAAGCTATATGGAGAAAAACAGTAAAGATATATGCAACTCAGTACTTCATATGTGCTTACATTCATCATTTGTTTGGGAAAGATTTTAAGATAAGAAATAAAGAAATATATCAATGGCCAGAAAAGACAGAAGCACTCTGCAAACCTCTTTAAGTTATTATGAACATTAAATCCCTGAAGATACAAACACAATCCATGTTCATGAGACTTTAAAGGCACTATTCATCGATAATATACTATACCTGACCATAGTATGTGAAGTGCCAAATTTCATCTTCATACGTTCCCTTAGCTTTATTAAAAGTAGGTTGAAGTGAGCATTTGCCAGATACAGGTTCATCTGAGCCTTCCAGGGCATCTCTTCAAGGCATATTTGATGGAACCTCTTCTTTTTAACATAACTGAATATTAGAGGATTCAAGTTGTCCACCAGAAATCGATGTGCTATTTTTCTAACATCAGGTCTCTTATTTCTGCCAAAGGAGAAAGAAGTTTTGAAATTACACAAACTTTCAGATATCTAAAGAGGAGTGATTCCAGTTTGTACATAATCTATGAAGAAGTCAGTCAACTGACCTTATGCAAATGTTTCCAGTTTATTTGTCATTCATTTACTTAGTCCTGAAAATGTGAAACAGGGCAATGAAAAAGGCACAAGAATAAACACTAGAGACAAAGTCACTACGTACTGCCTCCATTTCCGTCTGACGTCCATGTCCTAAGCTCAATCCAGAGCTTTTTTTCCATAACCAAAGGCCACTGAGATTATACAACTAAATTATAATATAATTATTCACATTCATCAATTAACATCAATATTGAACAAAAAAATCATTTCTCTGGATGATTTCTTAAGGAAAAAAAACAATGGAGCAAAAATTTTTCTAACATTAGTAAAACTGTAGACGGAAATTAAACATCAGTCAATGATAGATGAAATAACTTCATAAATCCATACTCAGCATACTCTGAAAAAAACTAATATTTCAAAATTCAGCTAATAGTTCAGATTTTAAGTATGATATATGTTCATTTTGTTTAAAATTATTCCTATCAAAATCTCAGAAAGTCCAACTATTTTTAGCGTTACATAGTTGTTTATATGGAATGACTTCATTTCTTCAAAATACTTATATCAATTTTTTTGACTGTTGACAATGTTGCTGTCTCATTGGTCAGTGCCATTTTACCTGATGTTCAATATCATTAGCCATTGGAAAAATACAAATTAAAACCACGAAATATCTCTAATACATTTTATTGACCAAAATTTAAAAAAAAAACAAAAAAAACAATGATAATGCTAAATCCTGGCAAACATGAGGGAAATTGGATTACTCATATGCTGCTGGTGGGAATGAAAAAGGTACAGCCATTCTGGAAAAGAGTATGGAATTTCTCACAAAATTAAATAAACACTTACCATACAACCTAGTAATTGCACTCATGGGATTTTATCCCAGATAAATAAAGACTTACATACATACAAAAACCTGTACGTGAATGTTCATATCATCATTATTCCTAACAGTCAAAACTGGAAACAATCCAAATGTCTTTAGTGGGTGAATTGTTAAACGAATTGTGGTATATGAATACCATAGAATACTACTAAGCAATAATAAGTGAACTAGTTATTCGTACAGTGTGGGTGGATCTCAAAGGAATTATGCTGAGTGGAAAGAAAAAACCAATCTCAGAAAGTTACCTACTGTATGATTCCATTTTTATAACATTCTTGAAATGACAAAATTATAGAGATGGAGAACAAATTAGTGGTTGGGAGGGGAATAGCAAGGGAGGTGGCTATACCTGTAAAAAGGGAGCATGGTGGTTAGTGGGCAAATCTGTATGATAGAACTGTTCTGTATCTTGACCATGGAGATGGTCACACAAACCTACAAATGTGATAAAGTCTCATAAAATTAAATATGCACACACATGTGTGCACATGTAAAATTGCTGTAGTCTGAATAAGGTCAGTGGATTGTATCATAGTCAATTTCCTGGTTGTGTTACTGTACTGTGGTTATATAGTTAACATCAGGAGACACTGGGCAAAGGGTTTATAGGATCTCTTTGTATTACTTCTTTTAACTGCATTGAATGTACAATTATCTGAAAATAAAAAGTTTTTATAATTGCATGTTACAACAAGGATGTCTACAATTGCAAACTTTATTAAGATTAAACTTCGGGTTCTAACCTGCAGATGAGACAAGAAAAGGAAGTAAGAGGTTTGAACATTAGAAAGGAATGAGCAAAAAAACTTTCATTATCTCTTCACAGTATGACCATCCACATGGAAACATGTATCGATGAATAGATTATTAAGTTTTACAGAGATCAAGTTGTTTATAAATCAATTATATTCCTATAAAAAAGAATAGAAGCATTCAAAATGTAATTTTAAAATACTATTTATGCTAGTACAAAAAAGCACTTCTTTGATGCAGCTAACAATAGATGTATAATACCTCTGGAGAATATCATAAAAATTTATTGAAGGGCATTAAATAATACCTAAGTATGTGGTCTGTCTACTAATATAAAGACTCAATATTGTAAAAAATAAAATTCTTCCCAAACCAATCTATAAATTCAGTTCTATCTCTACCAAAATCACAAGTCTTTTGTATTACTCAACAAGCTAGTCCAAACTATTTTGTGAAGAATATCCAAGACTTAAGACAAATGAAGGAAAAGAACACACAGGACAGCCTTGTTCTATGAAACAAGAAGACTCAATAAACTCAACTGAAAGCTAGAGTAAGTATGATGGTGTGATATTGACTCAAGAATGGATAAGTAGACTAATGGGACAGAAAAGAGATCCCGAAACTACATATATGCAAACTTGCTAAATGACAAAAGTGACAGTGATCACAGAAGACTACTCAATAAATGGACCTAGCCAATTGGGTACCTTTAATGAAATTAAGAAAGCGGGGGGAGGACTCTTCCTCTCACATTCACAAAAATAAATTCCAGTTGGAGGAAATTTCTAAATATGAAAATCAAAATTTTAAATTCACTAAGAAAATACCTTTTCTACCTCAGGTTAGAGAAGAATTTCAAAAGCAATGAAGGAAAATATTGTTAAATTTGACTCCATTTACAATTACAGCTTTTGATTAAAAAAAAAAAACCTTTAAAATATAAATAGATGACTCACAAACAGGGAGAAATATTAGTATCCAATCTTCTAAAAATAAATGAGAAAAAAAAAAGTTTTCAAACGTGCAAGGATCTAAACAAGCAGTTCTAACAGGAAAACCCTGAGATCTAATAAAATATGCAAAGATGTCTAACTTCATCGGTAATCAAAGAAATAAAAATTAAAATAACAATGAGATAAAATTTCACAACGCAATGTTCCACAAAAATTTGAAAATTTGGTAATAATATCAAGTGTTGGTGAAGATGTTGAATAATAGAAAATCGATACACCACTGATAAAAATTTAGGAGCAACTTAGCAATATCCAGTAATAGATATAAAAAATAAATATGTTCATATCTTGGGAACTGCACTCCTATGTATTTATACCAGAAACTCTAACATGTGCATATGAAGATATGTACAACACTGTCCTCTGTAGTACTATTTACAATAGTGAAAAACTGAAAATTTAAATGTCTATTTATAGGAGACTGAATAAAGTTCATTTATTCATACAATGGAATACTTTACAGAAGTAAAATGAATAACTAGATTTACATACATAACAACATAAAAAAACTCACAAACCTAATATTGAGGAAAAAGAACAAATTGGCAAAGCAAATTGTAAAAAATAATATACATTATTTAGGGGTATACACATATATAATTGATGTATAAAGTCACTCATAAGCATGATAAATTACTTCTGGGATTAAGGAAGATGGAAATGCATTCCATGATGACGTATGGGAATTTCAACTGTGTTTGAAATGCTTTATATGGTAAGATACATATTAGGTACATGTTCATTTGTTATATTTTCTATACCCATCTAAAATATCTCATGATTTAAATTTTAAAAAGTAAAGGAATGATCAAACAGATAGTAGGCAAATGAAAACAAAAAGAGAGAATGGTTTTTTAATATCTATATGTTGCAAATTAAGATCAAAATCACTAAACAGGTAAAGAAAGACATTACATAATGAAGGCAAGATATATAAAGAATGTATAAGAATCACAAATGCACACATAAAAATAGATGCTAAGCACTTTACCATGATAAGTTTCATGGTTTAAGTTTTATAAACAAGAACATTACCTACCAATAACTAAAAGTAATTTATCAATTTGGTCTCCTGACTACCCTATCTAAACTACTGCTGCCACCATCTCGACCTCTGGCCAAGTACTCTATAACTATCATTCTGTTCATTTATTTTATAAAATTTATGAAAATTTTAAATTGTCTTACGTGTATGTTACTTGTTTACTGTGCTTCTTTCATCGATATGTAAGCTCCTTGAAGACAATGATCTTATCTGTCTAGTTAATCAGTATGTACCTTCAGTTCCCAAATAATCCTCAACATGTAGTAACCTTCGAGTAAATGTTTACTGAATTAATTAAAAAATCAATACCTTTCATGTTCCGTCATTTCAAAAATACTTGGATTTTTGGCAAAAAAATCTCTTAGAGTTTCCCTTTTTCTACTTCTTTTTCTTTGTATTTCTGTAGGCTTAATAGAAGAGAAAACAAAAATATTACAAACTAAGATTAAATTCTGAACACAATACTACAATTTACTCATACTCTTGACATTAAAATACAGTGGTTTCTTTATATCCCCCAGTTAAAATTATCAAAAGTAACAAAAGTATCCCTGTAGGCAAAAAAAAGAATGATTGTAAAAATATCCATACACTAACTTAAGAATTATAATTTATTATATAATCATGAAATTACGCTTGTGGTATTTCCATCTGTTTCATATTATAATGAATTATAATGCAGTCAATCATCTCTAGATACATTAATCTCTTCACTTCATTAACTTAAAATTCAAAACTCATATGAAACTTACTCTTCCAATCTCCATTATTACAGCTTTGAACTTCTTCACAGGTTTAGTTGCCTTTTTATAGAAAATACTGTCCTTATATTTCATTTTTTTAATTTCAAGTAGAGAATCATTTCTCCTAATACAAAAAGATAAAGTCAGTTAAAAGGTTCTACAAGAATTTGCAAAACTACCCCAAAGTAATAAATCTTTAATGAATGTTGTCACTGAAATTATGCAAGAAGAATATCCAAAATTGTTTCTGTCCTATACATAAATATTCCTGTGATATTCCTGATTATGAAGAAATAGCCGGCCTCTATTCTATGTAAATCTCATCGCTTCTCGACCTTTTGGCTAAGATCAAGTGTATTCTATGTAAATCTCTATGCAAATCGCACCATAAGATTTCATTGGAGCTGACATGTGATGTAGGAAAAACATAATTGGATCGAAAATAAAAGGACATGAACAGTTCTCTATAAAACTGAAAAGATAACTATAGAAAAGTGACCCCTAGACAAGCTACCTTGTTTCCAACAGATCTCAGTCTCCCTGGTTCCATCATGTGCAAGCTTCCAGCCACTATCACTTTCCGGATACCAACAAAAGCTGAGCGTGTTAAATGACTACTTAATTTTCTCCCTTCCCTCAATCACCTGTAGGGATTCCTAACCTTGTTTTTTTAATCTCTCATGGATGCTGAGATAATCTGGCCCATTCTTCAAATATTAGAAAGTCTCTCATGCCCCCTCTATTGATACATATCACCTATTTTCCCTGCAATTTACATATTTCCTAAAATTTATATTTCTTTTGGTAAATACTTGCTAGGTATAGCAAAACCCTTCTATAACATGATAAAGATGATCCAAAAATGATTCAAATTTGATTTGAATAAAATGTAGGGTCACATCAACACAATGCTAATGAAATGACCAATGTGAGTCTGGATAGCTTGTTCCAGGAGTTGGGGTTCCAAATTCATCTTGGTCCCACTGGCTATTGGCCTCTTGCTTCAATTTTAATGATGATGATTCTGGATCTTGTGGTTGGTTGCTCAGCTGCAGCAATTCCAAGAATCTCCCAGTTAGTTGGCATCCATTTTGGCAAATGTTTTGTCTGCCTGAACTAGGAAGTTGGGACCAGTGACCACCAGGGATTTGGCAATCTATCCTCTGAAACTTGCATCGTGAGACTGGTTGCCTGTGATTTTCCAACCAGCTTGGTCTCTTCTCCACCTCCTCCCTATCCCATTCCTCCAGAATACTTGACCTGGTTGCTGTATTCCAGGAAGAGGTGGTAAGGACTGGAAGTCACAGATGTACATGTGAGCTACCATCTTTCAATTCTCTCAGCATTCTCCCCCATGCTCGGACTAAAGAAATTAAACTCACTCCTGGATCTCTCCACAGAATGCTTCCTCTTAGCTCTGACTGCTTTTTTAATTTTCTTTAGGGTGTGTTACAAAAAAAAACCTATTTTTAAATTTTTATGTAGTCAACATTATTGATCTTTCATTTCATGGCTTATTTCTGGTTTTGATTACTTATATTAGTGCTTGTTTCTGATTTGAAAAATTGAGTCCCAAGAGCTGTCTGCTTGTTATTTCACAAACACAACTCTGTTATACTTTATGTGATAATACAAATCTCTCTTTTCCCACTTTTTAATTTTTCAAACATTTTCATTAATCTAGCCTATTCCATGTAAACTAATCTAACTGGAATTGCATTAAACCTATAAATTAATTCGAAGATAACAGAAACCTTTACAATATTCTATCTGTCCATTGAGCAATATACTACTGTCTCTCCATTTATTCAAGTTATTTTTTTATATGTCTTAGTAAGAATGTTTGATCTTCTTTATATTAACCTATGTCCCCTCACAATTTCTAATAAATTTAATCTTGTACTTTATAGAAATGACACAATTTTTCTATTATACTTTCTAGTTCATATAGGAAAGCTACTGATTTTGCAAATTTGCATCTAGCCATCTTATGGAATTCTATTATTCTGATAGTTTTTAGTAAATTAGCTTACATTAAAATAATTATTTGCAAATATCAATCATTTTATCTTTGTTTTCAGAGTACTTTATTATACAAGTCATTTGACAAACATTTTTGAGACCCTATTTATGTCATAATCACATAAATTCTAATCCTAATTTCTATTTCTTTAATGCACTGGCAAGAACTTTCAAAACAATGTTAAAAGATAGAAGAAATAATAGGTTTCTTGTTATTTTTATTTTTTAAAGTCTCTTTACTTTTAGTTAGGTTTCTTTTTTGATCTAATAATTTTACATGTCAGTAATCTATTTTGTTATAAATTTTCAGTTTTATTGTACTGCAAGAGAATGTCATCTTTATAAATTTTAGTCTGAATGATCTACTGAGCTTTATTTGTCAGCCTAAATATTATTTTTTTAACTTAATAAGTGCTTTAAAGGGTATTTAGTCTCAACTGACTATATATGCTAAATTAATTGTATTAATTATATTATGTACATTTTCTGTCCTTTTTATTTCTGTCTTTTTTAAAGTATTATTGTTTCTGTTAAGTTACTCAAGTCTTTTCAGCAATTATTTCCATATACTTTGACTTTTTGTTATGTAGAACATGGAAGTACATGAAATATCTTTGTTGTGGTTTATAAGCATTATTAGTAGAATCATTCACTTTGAATGTGAAAAGGTGACATTCAAAGCAAGTAATAAGCTTCTAGTAAAGATGGAAGAGCAAGCAAACACTGTGCTCACTTCCTCCCATAACCACACCAAAATTACAACTAAACTACAGCCATCAATGAGAACTGCCTAAGTCTAGCTAAACAGAAATCTTATAACTAAGGATACAAAGAAGGCAGTTTGAGACTGGTAGTGGGGACAGTGGGAGATTTAGGAATAGGCTAGTCACACACCCGCATGTGGTGGTTAAAATCAGGAGGGCTATCTCAGCTGTGGAGGTACCCTCTGGAGAGCGAGGGGTCCCAGGCCCACAACAGGCTCCCCAGCCCAGGGCTCCAGTGCTGGTAAGAGAGGTCTCCATGATTTCTGGCTGTGAAAATCAGTGAAGATTGTGGCTGAGTGAGACGGAGGGCTGCTGGAGTCCCAGTTATTTCTCTTAAATGGCCCACACACAGCCTACACACAGACTTACTCACTGAAGCACTTACTCACTCTAAGCTCCAGTGTTGGGTTAGCCAGGGACATACAGAAAGGAACTGAACTGTCTGGCTTCAAGGCAAGGGCTGGAGAGGTAGCTTTCTCCCTGACAGAAGTGCTGGCAGAAGCCATTGTTCCTTCATCAAGCCCT